CAGATGTGACCCACCCTGGGTGTAGCATGAAACATGGCCAGAAAGATGGAGTTAGTCTTTAAAGTGTCAGTGTACCTCTGTTCAAAGAACCCTGAAGTGGTTTCCCCACCCCAAATCTATTATGCCCAAAATCAGACCTGATATGCAGAACAATCATGCCTCTCCTCTGCACTGGACAGTATTTGCATACATTTTTTTCCCCAGGTGCCTGTGCTCCAGACGTGACTAGCTCTTATACACCTCTAGATTGTAGTCGTGCCTGTGCACAGGAGACCAGCAGAAAATTGAATGTAAAGCAGGACCGGACTACATCTAAGGTCTGATTTTGGGCATAATTAAAAGGGTGGTGGGTGGGTATGTATTACTAGATAGTTTTTTGTTTGTACTTTTAATTAAAGGAGAAAAATGTAATGATTAGTATGATTTCTACATTGTTCCAATCTGAAATACAACACTGTACTTGGTTCATAAATGACAGATTTTCTTTAGGCTTAATCCAAATAGTTGCTTTTCAAAAAAACCCAAGGCAGACAGATTGCTTCGCAAACACTTTTAGTTTTGATATTACTAAACTCTAGAAATAATCTAAACTGTAACTCATGCGTTGTTTACAATAACAATCACCATTTCCAGCTCTTATTGGCTGCCAATGCTGAAAATATTGGTCATTATTGCAAATGGTGATCGTCATACCGTAGCAAACCAAGCCTTTTATCAAAATATGTATTAGATTTATTCTGGCATTTTGTGTGGACTTTTTCATTAAGATTTTATATTTGGATTTTGACTCTAGAATTCCTTGGCATAAAGATGTTGAGAAATGAAAGCTCTGTACTATAGAATACACATTTGAACAGTCAATCAAAAGTATAAAAACAGGTCAGGACGTCAATAAGTTCTTGATTAAATTGATGAAGCATTTTTTATATGGAAGTAAACACACGTTTAATAGTTAATAGCCTAGCAGCTCCTCTCCTGCAAACTTTCACACTGTCTAATAATAGGAGTAGAAGTTGTTTTATATACTGACATGCAATTGAAATGTGATAGCACTGTCTGTTTTCTAAGAACAATAAGGTCATTCTAAATGGCAGATCCTGCATTAGAGGGGCATGGTGGTTGTTTTCTAGCACTGGTGCCATTAAGATTGATACTATAAACTTTGTAATGCATGGATTTGTAACATTGCAGTGGGAATCTGTGGCACTGTTAAAAAAAAGTATTTTGAACATTATACTGAAGCAATCCTTCAACTATATAATCTTAATAATGTTCCTTGCACATGGCCAGATATATGCACTTTTTTTCAGCAAATTTGAATAAAACCTGTTCCCATTCAAATTGCATAACATTAAAAAATAAAGAAATAAAATTACTGCTTACTGTTTTACTTGCTTTTTACCTGCTGAACAATCTTAGCTGCTCCCCCCTTTCTATGTAATATTAAGGATAGGGCAGGGAGTTATGTCCTCACTAATTAAAAATGTCTGCACTGTGTTGGCAGATCTCATTATTAGTCGTTAACTAGATGGCCAGGACTGTCTATCCTAACAAAGGCTTAAAGAAGATCTTTGGTAGTACATTATAAGTTAATGCATTTAAAAAAAATCACTTATCTCCTCTTTATCTCCACATTGCTATCTATTCTAAGCAATGTAAGTTGATTATAGCATCCTATGTTTAATCTTGCTCTAAAGAAACAACTAATTAAGATTTGTTTTAATTATTTTAGGTAAGCTGTGTGAATGGGAACACATAACAAACATATAGTGAAGGTTTCTTAAGGTGCCCATACACTTTACAACCCTCGCAAGACTTTTGTCTTGCAAGGGTTGTAAAGTACTTAAAAAAATGTACGATCTGCCCATCTTGGACAGGCAGATCGTATTTGCGATCATCTCAAGCCCACCCCCTGAGGGGCAGGCTTGCGATGACTACAATGAGGGGCGGGCTTGCGATGACGGCAAACGGGCAGTGTGCGCACCGGCCCGTTTGGCAATTGTCGAACAAGCAGGCCACTAACTCGTACGATTCTCGGCGGGTTTTCCAGCCTGCTTGTTCGACGGAAGACGTGCGACCGTACAGTAGAAACGGTTGCACGCCTTCCATACACTGCACGATTCTCGTACGATCGCGGGATGTCCTGCGATTCTCGTACGAGAATCGTGCAGTGTATGGGCACCTTTAGATTTGACTTGAAAAGGTGGAATAAAACTTTAGACACCTTGATTGTCTGTTTACAGCAGATGCAGTAGGGTAATTTTCAGCATGAGAACATTGGCATAGCTGTTTTGGGAACATACAGTTTGGTGCAAAGACATTTTTACAGCCAAGAAAATAATTTGTTGCACTCCCACGCAAAAATCTTAATGCATACCCTAAGCCAACTTTTAACCTGAGCCCAACCCCTAAATTGTACATCTAAATCTAAAGTTTTATTCCACCTTTTCAAGTCAAATCTAAAGGTGCCCATACACTGCACGATTCTCGTACGAGAATCGCGGGACATCCCGCGATCGTACGAGAACCGTGCAGTGTATGGTTCCGAATTTCGATTCGGAACGAAACGAATCGCACATGTCTAGTGTGCATTGATTTTCTTTTTCTTATCTATGTTGTCAGCGTCGTGATTCCCCTCGTGGTTGCCGTGCCGTCTTCCTTTCAAAGTCTCTTATTCCGTTCGCTAATCTTTTTTTCCTCTTCTGCTCCACACGTCTCTCTTTCAGTATCAACCTCTTTACCTTTCTATATTTTTATCCAAATGTACTACATGGCTTCCATCAATAAATAGCGCTCTAATGTGTACCCAACATGTTTCGCCACTTTAGTGGCTTCATCATTACCAGCTGAGGCATCAATGGGGAAAGAAAATGTCTTACATGGTGACACCCACAAAGAGCTGTTGAGGGTTGATAATTGTTTTTATGGATGTCCGTGGCCCTCGTGGAGATTCTCCTAAAGGTGCCCATACACTGCACGATTCTCGTACGAGAATTGTGGGAAATCCCGCGATCGTACGAGAACCGTGCAGTGTATGGAAGGCGTGCAACCGTTTCTACTGTACGGTCGCACGCCTTCCATACACTGCACGATTCTCGTACGATCGCGGGATGTCCCGCGATTCTCGTACGAGAATCGTGCAGTGGTGTATGGGCACCTTTAGATTTGACTTGAAAAGGTGGAATAAAACTTTAGACACCTTGATTGTCTGTTTACAGCAGATGCAGTAGGGTAATTTTCATCATGAGAACATTGGCATAGCTGTTTTGGGAACATACAGTTTGGTGCAAAGACATTTTTACAGCCAAGAAAATAATTTGTTGCACTCCCACGCAAAAATCTTAATGCATACCCTAAACCAACTTTTAACCTGAGCCCAACCCCTAAACATAACTGTCAACCTTATCCCAACCTCTATACCTAACTTTTGACCTTTAAACCTTCAATGAAACCTTTCTTGACAGAAATATGGAGGCTGCCATTGATGACTTTCACTGGGTTTGTGCATGAACTGCCAGGCAAATCATATTTTAGGAAGGAGGGCAGCAATGCTAGCCCCTATATTTCTCCCATAACAGGTGTACTTTTAGTCCAATCTGATTGTACAATCTCATTCGGGCTTATGTAGATGGCGGTTGTTTCCCTGCGTATGTCTAACATGTCAGCAGATTCCTGTTCACTTCAATAATGTAGTGTGGAGGACAATTCTGAACCGCTATAGTCTACTTTTTCTTTAATTATTGCACATCTTCTAAGAGAAGCAATATATACTATTCCAAAAACAAATTATACAAATTATCAGAGTTTTTCTGTAGTTCCACATTATTTTCTAGTTATTCCCTCCCCGGTTCACACCACGAAGTCTGCGTTCCAGATTGTTCGGCCTCTGGAACGCACTACAACGCAAGCCGGCCGGCTCCCTGTGTTCAAGCCCCCCACCCGCAGTGCGATTGTCCACACCCGGAATGCAGGCACATTAGTGCCTGCGTTCCGGTCTAGTTTAATCTGCAAAAATAGTGCTTGCAGCATTTTAGCAGATTACACTGGACCGGAACGCAGGCACTAATGCCTTGCTGACACCAGACACAGTGCTTTCTGGCCAGAACGTGCTGCATCGCATTGCGACCGGCTCACTAGGTTGTGGGGCAGGAGGGGGCATGGCGGTCCATTGAAGTGAATGGCACCGTAGCCACACCTTCCGGCCACAATGCAAACAGCCACACGGGAACGCAGAGCACATCAATGCAGCATTTTGTTCGGACCGGGTACGCAAGCAATGTTGTGCCTTGTGTTCCCGTGCGGCCAATCGCAATGCGGCTGGCTCACTATGTTGTGGGGCTGCGTTCCAGAGCGTTCGGCCACTGGAATGCAGACTTTGTGGTGTGAACCCGCCCTATCATCTGGAGGTGAAGTCTACACCAAAAAAAGTGCATATGAGGAAAACAATCATTTGATTCTACTTTTTTCGAGGAAATATTTTCCAACTAGTGAATAGTGATGATGTAGAAATGTTATGGGAAAAAAACTGCAGTGAGAAGGCACTCACCAGAAAACATCATTTCGAGCTACATGCAGTTAGAAAGTGTAGGATGCAGCACTGCATGAAATTAAATTTTCTTGCAGCTGGCTTTGCAATTACAGACGTTTTGGTATAAGGGGTTTACTTGCAAATCAAACTGCATTGTGTCCAATAGTTGGTGTATTGACCAAAGGTCTCCTGTAATCATGTGCATATTTAATGCGTGTAGTTTTAGGCCTTGGATAACTTACCTAGATGTGTGCCAATTTTACAAATGTGTTTTAAAACAAACACAGATGGAGAAACTAGGAATGCCAAAGTTACAATGAATGAGTGACGAGAGAAAATCTGAACATAAAATCGTTAAATATCTATGGAAACAAAAATAGTCAGTAGTGTACTTCTCATGACCTGTGTCTTGTTTTAATGCACAATGATCTGGTCTAAAAGTACATGTCATAGACTGAAGTAGCACAAGTACCTTCTGATGTGGGATCACTGGCAATGGTGACTCCATTCGTGGTGTGGATGTTGGAAATGGACCTAGACGTTTAGATCTGTGTAAAGAAAGAGCAAACATCAATAGTTGTCCTCATATGTTTCTATGACTAGCAATTTAAGTCTATACTGTCAATTCATTGAGGGAAATTTATCAAAACTGGAGCAGACAGAATCTGGAGCAACTGTGCATGACAACCAATCAGCTACTATATATTGAATTTTCAAAGCTTAACTGAACAAACTGAAGAGAGAAGCTGATTGGTTACTATGGGTAACTGCTCCAGATTCTGTCTGCTCTAGTTTTGATAAATTCCCCCCATTGTATTTTCAAGGAAGCCAAAACAGCTGTGGTAAACATGTAATGTATCAACATACAGAATAAGACTTAAGGGTTAAAGTATGAATGCTGGCAGAAGGTTTCCCATCAATGGGAGAAGCATGATGTGATTGATCATGATGACCTTTTGGCAAAGGGGTGTGGGAAAAATAGGAAAACAAATGTTTGGAGAGGGGGAGCAGGAGACTGGGTAGAAGGGGTCAGAAGAGGAGATAATGCAGGAAAAGAGGTCAGTGGAGGTAAGGGGGGAGGTATGAAAGGGCAAGAAGGAAGGGGAAAGGGGGACAATCCCAAGAGTACAGGGATATGCTCTAAATATTTAGGGCTAAGAGATTCAGAGAGGCAAGTGTGTAATAATGCTGAGTTCCCAAATTTTGAGGAATTTGGTTGATAATCCTTAACGATACTGGATAGTTTCCTATTACCAAGCATCATATTCATCCATTATTTTATGTCCTGTAATTTGACCCTGGGCTTGTTCAAGCTCTGGCTATGGTTTCTTTGGTGGCCAAGAAAAAAAAATGGACAGGTTCTGTTGTGAAACCCAGTTAATACAGGGATGATATGGTGGAGCTATACAAGGATCCTCTGAAATAGTGATGTGGAATAAGGTTTGAATGAGGCCAAATATTCTAGACCAGAAAGACAATAACTTCAGGCAGGACCACCAGGTGTGTAGATCATCACCTTATTGACCACAAGCCCTAAAAGATCTGTCGCTTTAAAACGGGATCGCTTTTGCTATGTGTGCAGTGACTCAATACTACCTCAAAATAACTTTACAAACAGATTCCACTATAGTTTTTTTGATGGAACGTTTAGCTATTCTGGGCCAGATTTTCCCCTGAGTCATCCATGGTCACTGTGAAATGTAAGTCCTATTCCCAGTTTCTAGTGTGGGAAAGGGGAGAATGGGATGGATGAGGTTTCACGGCACAATATAAGAGATATTAGTTTACGAGATTCAGGTAAATGTAGATAAACATGCTAAAAAATTGATTTTATATACAGGAACTACGAATTCCAGGTAACTGTGGAATTTGCTTCCTCCCTCCTGCCATGTCATAATTATTTCCTCTTCTGGGCATGTGTAATTATTGTCTTTGCAAGCCGATCATCTCTGCTCCTTTCTTCACCTCCCTAAACAAATGGAAGGAGCAGAGAAAAATACCATATAGTTTCACTTGAGTGACAGCTCTGAGTTTGCTAAGGCTGCTGATATCACATCCAAAATGGCAGCACCCAGCAGCAATCTTGGGTTTCTTTTGGATCTCTACACAATGGAGGCATTTACGGGTAAATAACATGCATAAAATAAGTGAAATGCACATATAACATTATGGGAAGATTGTTGTTGAAATGAATGGTATGGTGACATGGCATTTTTAGTTTAGAAAAAAAATATGAGATGGGCAAGTCATTGCTGGATTGCCTTTATTTTGCTTTAAAGTAGCTAGTTAACCCAAACAATGGTAAACACAATAACAGAGACCTGTTGGAAGCACTCAATGGCCATGTCTTTTATTGTAAAGTAAATTACATCTGAAATATGGATTCCTTTTCTGTCATAATGCCCAGTTACTGGTAGAGAATAATACCTTTGTATGCTTCAATTTCATGCAGTCTAATTTCCTCCATATAACTTTTGTCTACTAGCAGGCCATTGAGGGAAGTCATTACTAGGTTTGCAGCAGGCTCCATTCATTGTTTCTCATCTATGGTGTGGCACTTATACATCCAATCAGTGGAAAGTATTTCCATCAAAGGTTATAAAACTTCACATGTTCAGAGTTACCTAACCCTATCTTCTCCAGCTGCTAGCAAACTGAGGGCACCATTGAAAGAAAATTATGATTAAAATGATTGTGTTTAATGAGTGTAAAGACCGAACCTATACAGTAAGCCAAAAAAACCATTAGAAATATATTTTACAGGTTTAGGTACACTGCTAAAAGTCAATATCCAATTGATTGCTTTGGGTTAAATTGCCTCATCCCTCACTGAAATATATTATCCACCAATACGTTAAGTCAAGAGACACTGGATTGAGGTATAATTAAATGAATTATGAAAGCACATCTGCAATGTACACCATCCTTTAGACCAGGGATGCCCACATTTTTTTGTCTTGAGATCTACTTTTCAAATGACGATCTGAATGAGATGTACCAATGAAAAAATACACCTTTATTTAAAAAAACCAGCACATTAATATCATTACTGGGACTACTCCCCCCTCTTGTCTCTCCTGTCTCCCCTCGCTCTTTCCCCTCCTGTCTCCTCTCTCTCCTGGCTGTCTCTTCTCTATCTTTGCCGTGGCTGTCTCTCCTCTCTGTGCCCTGACTGTCTCTTCTCTCTCCTGGCTGTCTCTCCTCTCTCTCTCTCCTGGCTTTCTCTCCTCTCTCTCTCTCTCCTGGCTGTCTCTCCTCTCTCTCTCTCCTGGCTGTCTCTCTTCTCTCTCTCTCTCTCTCTCCTGGCTGTCTCTTCTCTCTCCTGGCTGTCTCTTCTCTCTCCTGGCTGTCTCTTCTTCTCTATCTCCTGGCTGTCTCTTCTCTCTAGACCTCTATGATTAAGCCCAGGTGATGAAATTTGTTAGGGACTTGCACATGGAGGAGTGATCTGATGGTGTACACTTGCATGTTTTGCTGATGTGCAATAATAAAGACTGAATTTTATGCATGTAAACCTATTAAGTGCGGCTGTCTCTGAAGATGCATTTACGGAGGTGAGAACGCACTTTGAGCCTGCACCTGGGACATGCTGATGGTGTGAGACAGTTTCATGAATTGGATCGGTGAGAGTCTTTTGATATTGCATTTTAAAATTGCACTATTTGTCCTAACAAAGGGTTAAATACTTTGAAGCATTGTATGTTAATGAAAAGTTCAGTCCGGTTTAATTAAGCACATATCAGAATACTAAGCACAATCAAGTGCCAGTCAATATAATTTGCTAGAGAATCCAGCACTTCAGAGTGCCCCAGGTGCACACAAAACATTAAATCCCTACATTTCACTGATACTGATTTTTTTTTTTTTTAAATCGAAGGCAAGAATTGCTCCCAGCTCATCCCAATGGCTCAAAGTTGGGTCTCCCTAACCTTTTGAGTGGTCATAAGAGAAACACAGAGGTTGCCATTCTCCTTCTGACAATGCTGGTTCTGGTTGCCTGTTTTTTTGCTGACTCTCTGTTTAAATACTTTAGGTTTTTGATACATACTAAGTAAGCATGTAAGGATTTGTGACTTTTTTCCCTTTCGATACATATTTGGTATCTATTTACTCAGAGCAACCTCCCCTTATATATTTTACCAAAAAAATGGGATTAATATTTCTTCACTAAAATTACTTTGTGTATTTGTTTACGGAACATATAGATTTGATAAACAGTTCTGCAAATATTATGTGTCATAAAGAATTGTGGCTACCACTTTTTTTTCCATAGAGTCTCTGCTTTCATAAAATCTATCATTTTTCAGTGTTTTAAGCGATTTTGGGAATTCTCAATGAGAGATAGTTAAATAATACAGTGGCATTGCCTCCCTGCTTCCAGCATGCTGATTGGATAATGAAAGTGCTGCAGGACATGGATGAGCTAATCTCTGGGCTTTCCCCTCCTCTAAACATGTTCATAGTGTTACGCTGGCCATACACCTATAGATTATCTGCAGATTTTCTATGGTCAGATGGAAAAAGTGCAACAGATTCTTCCATCTACGATAAACTGTGTAAATGGAGGAATCTCCCATTGGGCCAAGCTTCAGTATTTGCTAGTCAGCCCCACTGGCTCTCAAACTATCTTCACAATGCCTTCATCCAATCAGATTGTTCAGGTATTTTGAGAGCCAGCGGGGCCGACTAGAAAGATACTGAAGCTTGGCCCAGCGGGAGATTCCTCCATCCACACAGTTTAGCATAGATGGAGGAATCTGTTGCACTTTTTCTACCTGACCATAGAAAATCTGCAGATAATCTATCGATATATGGCCAGCTTCAGACTGACAGCACTGTGCAATGCAGTAGAGTTCTAGATCATAATGCAAAAATTTTTTCCTGTGAAAATTTGCACCTAGTATAATAACAGGTTTAGGAGTCTAGATAATATATTAAATCTTTATTTTAAAAAAACACATGTAATGCTTTTTTTTCTAAGAAATACATAGCTGGATTAAATTATGATATAATTTATATTTGTCAAGAATTCAATTATAGTGTTATTCCTTTTGAAGTGCCAGGAAAACAAGAGCACTTGGAATAGCACTTATAGCAGCTATAGCACTTGGAATGCTTTTATACAAGGTCTGAACTATCAACCGTTTAGCACTTTCTAAAATGAACTGAAACACACATAAAATTGGATATAATTTAGCTTGTCATTTCCAGTTGTCTTGTATTGTGTCTTCAATTTCTGAGGTATCTTTTGGAACCAAAACTGACTAACAGGAAAAGCTCTATCTTCTTTCTATACATCAATGCTACTTCCATGAGCAGAAAGAAGGAACGTCACCACTTTGTCTGCTTTCAGCAAAATAGCTCTTCAGTGACCTTGCAGCATTTTAATGGATGCTCTTCTGTGATTTATTTATCCATTGATGTATTGATCTTTCCCTTCATTTGTTGGCTGGCATCACTTACATAGACACGGCTACATTGTTATTTAGGTAAACCTGTTACAGTCCTGGACAAATCAAACTTTGCATATAATAAAATGCATAAGCAGAACCTTGCTTTTCTTAAAACTGCATATCAGTTATCTAGTAGGCTAGACCTATAAGAAGCTAAATATGTATAGAAAGCTTGATTTTTCTTGTAAGGACCCTTTCAGACAGGTGCCTTAAGTTCCTATCTGCAGGAGATCCATGCACATATCCCCTGCTGATTGGCATAGATGTCACTATTGTGACATCAGTGTCCGTCCAGTTTTTTCCTCCATCTTGCAATAGAGTAAAAAACTGAAATTACCGGACCCATGTTGATCTATGAGTACATGTCCGTTTGCATCAGATTACCTCCAATCCAGCACGGTCAGGTCCATCAAAATGGAACTCTGATCTGTTTGTTTTTCCAGACCTGGCTGGAGGACAACTGGATGTAAACGGATGCCCGTCTATTTAGATCCGGCTGCTATTAGACTAACATTGGGCTTTCGATCAGGTCCGCCTGTCAGTTTTACACGGGCGCCGTCTGTTCCAATGTGTATGGAATCTTTGCACAGATCCGCTGCTGATCAGAACAATATGGAATTAATGTCGCTCTTGTGATGGAGGAAAAACTGAGCTCTGCAGACTACATGTTAAGTCTATGGGGAGGTTGGGGGATTGGGGGATTACCTCCCATCCATCACAATCAGGTCCACCAAAATGGAACTCTTATGTGAATGGATATGCGTCTGTTTACACCTGGCTGCTCATAGAGTAATGTTGGGCTTCCGAGCAGGTCCATCTGAAAAGCTTACAGGCAGACCTGGACAGACTGCCTATGTGAAAGGGGCCTTAGAACTAAGCCTGCCCCATTGCTTCTCAATCCTTCCTATAAAATGATGGAGTGAATAATAGGGAGGGGGGAAGGGTGGGGTTAAGTGTAACTTTTCAAAAGTATTAAAACTTACATATAGGGGTCTATTCACTATGCTGCCGAGGGCAGCCGAGTGAATGACCGATCAGAAGTGAAGTGAGCCGAACACTGTTCGGCTATTCACTTCAGGCTGTTACGGCTGATTTCAGCCGTACATCGGCTGAAATCCGCCATACATCGGCCTGCTTCGTGTGGCTTCGGGTCGGCCGAACATG